ACCGATTCAATATTGATTTTAGTGACCTCCGATTGGCGTAACCGGGTGTCATTACTGCCAACGTGAATTATGATTTTACTGAATTTATGTTTACCCTTAGCCAGCAGTTTTAAATTTCCTTCAATGTCGCCTGCTCTGGCCCCTGGAAGACAATTGACTATGGTTGCCGGTATCTCTAGCTTCACATGTCTGAGAACAGAATCACCAATTACCAGAGTTTGACCCCCGGCAGGTGTGTCGCAGAGTGGGGAAAAACGGTTAGACACATGAACAGGTTGGTGGTGTACCTGGGGCTTCTGTTTAGGACTATGCTTCCTCCTCACCGTCACCCAGTCGCCCTCTTTCCCCAGCTGCTTGGGGTCTCCCGGGGAGCAGCTAGCGGGGCCTACGCTATCTTCGGCTGCACCAGCTACAGGGGCCTGGCTAGCTACGGGTGAATGAAGGGTGCGAAGCAGAGTCTCCAATTCAGTAATCTTGGACGTCTATCCCGTCCAGAGAGGTGTGCATGCAGGTGATACCGACTTTGAGACGCACAGGTGTTTGCTCTTATCCTCCAAACACAGCGGCACAGATACATTTCCCCTGATAATGAGGAGGCGTGTAGGATAAAGGTATACTCATGAAAGTAGAATAAGGACTTACTTACTGACCTGTTGTCTTCTCTCCTCCTCTCAGATCGAAGGAGCTGATAAAGGAGGCCATCTTGGACAATGACTTCATGAAGAACCTGGAGCTGTCTCAGATTCAGGAGATCGTGGACTGCATGTACCCGGTGGATTATGGGAAGGACTCGTGCATCATTAAAGAGGGTGACGTGGGCTCGCTGGTGTTTGTGATGGAAGGTGAGGAACCCACGGTTTGGTTTTCTGTCACTCTTCAGGATCTATTTATTTATTTCTCTGTCAGCAGTTATTTTTAAAGTGAGGTATTTCTGGCAGAAATTTCTCTTTTCAAGAACTTTTCAGGTTTGGGGAATTTGGGGAAAATTCTGGGTGAAAAACTACTTTTGATCTGAGGTGAGGGGACTTTTGAACCAGGCAGTGCAGCTTGTTGCCACTCAGGTCTGTTCTGGTTGTTAGACTTTCCTGTGTCATTTTTATTTCCTTAGAGTTTATCAGATGTTTCTTTTTTTGCTGGTTCTTAAAGAACTTGATGTTTTTTCTTGAATGAATAAAAACTGTGCAGTTTGAGCTGTAGTTGTAGTGCAATGCTCATTGTGAGCTTCTTTGAATGTGTGGTTGGTGACAGACCCCACCTCTCCTCACTCTGAAGCTTTTTTTAAAGGAACTGTCTCACATTAGATAATGCAAATCTCATCTCCAGAAGAAGCCGACTCTTCAGGTTTGAAATCGTTGATAGCTTTAACGATCGTGTTTCTCCAAACTAAAACTGCCATTGTGCCTCTGAGACCATTGGTGGGTGAATGAAAGTTTGGAAAGAGGTTTGAAGACGAGAACACTGAGCCAAACCTTTGGAGACACAGAAACAGGAAAAAGTTCATTACGGCGGCTCGATGAGGAAATCGTTTATCACTACATGAGAAATAGGATTCCAGCTTTCAGCTTCTTGAAATAAATAATTATGGAACTCATTTATTCTTTAATGACTACATTTCCTCCAATGAGCTGAGGAGTGAATAATTTCATAGGTCTTCTGTGTGACGGTGAATTCATGAAGTGTAGCGACATGGAAACTCCTTAACAAGCGGTATCTCAGAGTTCCGTGACATTTCCACCTGAAGTTTCCCAGAGCGCCGTTCGACCTTCAGGATGTGCTCGGCCGCCGGGAACATGTCAGAGCGGCGCGGCATTGCGTAACGTGTCAGAGCACCTGAAGGCATTCACCTCCACTCTGCTGCTGGTGTCCCTGCTGCCTTCACGCCACACACTACTTCTGCTGCTGTGAGGAAGAGGAGAACTCAAACACGACATTTTTCTGCTTGTGGAAAAAAAAATCACAAAAATCGTCCTGTAGGTAAAAAGTAACTTAGTGCGGTCACAAAGATGAATGACAGTGTGCCTGAACAGCCAATCAGTGAGCAAACAGCAGAAAAGAAAGAGAGGAACGAAGAATGATGGGAACGTGTCGGCACGAGGTCACTGCTCACAAGAACTGTGACATCACTACAGCCACATCACCAACTATAACTAACTAACTAACTAACTAACCAACTAACTAACTAACTAACTAACTAACCTGTGAATCAACTGCTGGAAAACAACAGGACAGGAAATAAAGTGACTGCAGACAATGTTCAGAGTCTCCCTCGTGTTTTTCACTGAACAGGACGCTCCGCCTGGTGGCCTCCATCACCATCAGCTGTTTCCAAAAATCATGGATTTCCACAAGAAACTGAAACGTCACTGAAGCACGGCGTCGCATGTAACATTAGACTGCCGTGAGGTCATCACTGTTGACGAGATGGAGCTGTCACCTACAGAGGACTTTAGATCATTTCGTGGGTGCTTTTGATTCACGTTCAGTCATTAGTTTGTTTAAAGGAATGAATTAAAGAGACTCAATGTAACAATGTAACATGTTCTTGTTTTATTAGGAACAAAAAGAACTTGGAAATCTACCAAACATGTCTCAGTTTGGCTGACAGGTTAGGGTTAACGCGACTGCCTGAGTCTGAACAAGTCAAATTTATTATTGAGCTTTATTATAAATAAAAACATAAAATAAATATATTAAATAAATTAAATAAAACATAAAAAGTTCTGCAAATAAAATCAAATGTTGAGACTCAGTCGGGTTTAAAGAATCAAAAGGATACATTCAAATGTCTCAACCAGGGACCGGCTCGCAAAAGTCATCACAGACACACAACGGACACACAACGGACACACAACGGACACACAACGGACACACAACGGACACACAACGGACACACAACGGGCCCGTGGAGGACAGGCAGTGGGCTGGAATCAGGCTGAAACCCTTCCACTATCACCTGATGCAGGGAGTTCTCACCTGTTGTGCACATGCTCAGACAGGACTGAGGTTCTCGTCCCTGCTTTGTTCCTCTGATGTTTCACTCGCACTGACTAACCAACAACACTTGGTTAGGAGAAGGCTGGGGTAAACACTACACTTGGGGAGTTTAACACTGAGATGAAGGTCGTCTTGTTCTGTCAGCTGCTCCTTTCATGGGTCACCACAGCTGATCACCTCCTTCCGTCCCAGCATCCTCCTCTGTCGCACCAAGCCAGCCTTTTTATTTGACCTGTATGCAGCTTAAGTGCTGCCAACACAAACCTAAAAGCTGTCGGCAGCATAAATGTGGTAGCTTGGGTGCAGATAACTGATAATTATCCTCAAAGAAACACTTTCAGCCTGCAAACAGCAAAGGCAGATTTATGAAAGGTTGTGCTGCTGGAACATGACGAACGCTAGCGTTCCCCTTTCAGAGGGAACGAGTCAGTTCAAGCTTCACTGTTTCTGCTCAGAAGCTAAGAGAGCATGAACACCGTGGATCCTTTTGTTTGCTTTTCATTTTCTTTGACCCGAAGCTTTCGGTGCTCATTATTTTTGCCAAAGGACACTCGAACAGAAGGAACCGGGGATCGAACCGGTAACCCTGCAGCCTTGCTCCGCCGTTCCTATCCAGAGTACTTTTGTTGTATTTTTAGCTGCATTTGAGGTTATTGTGTTACATAAGAAGCCTGCGTAGAAACGTGATCCTCCCACTGAAAACACAGGGCATTGCTGAAGCTGCACTCAGGACGCCTAACCTGCATGCTCGTGTACATCCAGTTAGTCATCCATTCACATTCAGCAGCTCTCACAGCTTTAATGACGTCCTGGTATCTTGAGGTGCTCGGGCACAGCAGCACAGGTGGATTTTTTGAGTTTCACGAATTTCAATGGCATATTTTTCTTAATATTCTCCTGGGATCATTCCTGTAGGATTTCTTCCTTCAAACCTGCCATCGGTCAGACTGTCACTCTGTGTTATCAGTACATTTAAATCTCTTTGTCCCAGTCATGCTGGCCTCACAGGGACAACAATTCTCCAGATGGCCAATCCTCCGTGTCGGTGGGTGGTAGGCAGCGAGTGGTGTGAAACAACTGATGACATTTATATCTAAGTAAAAGCTGCCGGGTGAATAACACCCATGCTGAAAGAGCGATCCTCACAATGTGAAAAAGATCCTTTTGTCAGATTTTAAATGAAGCAATTCAATATTAAAACTGCCCATTTTTGAATGGAGTCTGGTGTGGGCGGACGAGCTTCAGGCAGGCAGATTGTGTGCACATCTGTGTGTGTGTGCATGTGTGTGTGTGTGTGTGTGTGTGTGTGTGCGCGCGCGCATGTGTGTGTGTGCGCGTGTGTGCGTGCGTGTGTGTGTGCGTGTGAGTGTGTGTGTGCGTGTGTGCATGTGTGTGTG